TGTTCCTTGTATAGTATGAGTAATTACCGAAATTTCTTTCCATATGTACAGGTAATTTCCGAAATTTCCTGTAAATTTGCTTTGGCATTGTTTGAATATTTGGGAAATTGTGAGGAAATTGCTGTCTGGTATAATAGTAATTACTAAAATTTCTGCGAAATTTCTGTTATTAAGCACACGTATCATTAAATGCTGTTTGTGGAAATTTTGGTATTTTCGGAAATTTCTTTTTTAGGAAATCTGAACATTCCTCTATCGAAAGATGTTTGCTGAAGATATATTTTGGCTTTTTGATCAATTTTATGAACGGCTGGATCAAAATGAGTGACAGGTACAAAGTGAACTGGTGTTAAAAGCCGCTGCAGCTAAACCATCAGAACAGAATACCACTTAATACATGTAAGAAGTAGACTTACGATTTCAATTTGTTGACAAAGAGCCTTAATTTGATCATAGTAATTATCGACGATAGATGCTTTTCCAAGTTGCGTTAAAAAAGTCGCGAACATTGTAGATCTATCCATCGCACGACAGCTTATGCAACAAGCTGTCGCAGCCCACCGTGTACAAAATATGCATTGATTATTCATATTAATCTTACACAATATAAAATGAAGCTAATGCAAATGTTTTCAACAAATTAACAACTAAAAATTCTTGAATCTAAAATGCAATATGTTAAGCGAATGGAAATAAGCTACAAACAACATTATATACAAAACAGTTTACAGAATGTAGAATTTAATAGATTTTTATTTTGAATAAAAAAATACAAAATTACGACGATGTGAGATAATTTGAACAATGGTAGTCGTAAAATTTCTACTATACGTTATAGATGCTGTACTAATTTTACACAAAAAATTTTTGATAAATAGTGAAAAGCACATAAGATATAGTAATTGGAGTCTGTCGCAGTGTATTGCCAACTGCCATTTCAAATTTTTTTCGATTGGTCACCTATGAGTTTACTTTTTGATCACCATCCCTCTCAAGTTCCACCATCGATTTAATTTCTCGCAGGACAAAGTGCAATCAGTGTCATCATCATTGCATATAAGACTCAGATTAAGAACACGTAATGGTGCTTGGATATTTTCAAGATGATAGGATTCTTCACATTGTTCTAAATATACACTAACAAATATCCGTAGAAGTGTTGAGGCAGACTCAAAAAGACAAATCCACCTTTGATTAACAACAAAGCCATCAGCGTCTACAAGACCGGTTAGCTTCAGTTTTACGAGGCATGGTGCTCTTGCTACTAGTTTAATAATCCAGTTAAAAGATACTTCAAGTAGTCCAAGAGTGAGAGTGCGAACATTCAGGAAATTGAATGATGGTATAAGTTTCTGATTGCGATCAAGCAAGCCAATGCTAAGGAAACGAATACGACTAAAGTTAGAAATTTCACGTGAAAAATCATTCCAGCTAATTGTGGAGCCTGAATCAAAAATAAATTGTTCGATTTCGCTTGGTATCGTAATCAATGTGGAGACTTGTCGTCTTTCTACTATCTCATCAATATGAATTTCTAGTCGACGCAAAGAGGAAATAGATAAAATAGGTATTAACAATTCTTGTATAGATCCAATTGTAGGAGTAACAACGGTGAGCTGGTTCAGTTTTGTATTGCTTCCCCGAATATTTCTCATAATTCCTGTGATCCATTCATTTTCGCCGATAAGTTTGAGTGATCGAAGCTCCAAACAATGTTGAAGAACTTCAAACGAAACAGTTTTGTTGAGAGTTAGAGAAATAACTCGATTCAAAGGAATTTGTCGTGGGACTTTTCCATTATGATCAAGCTTAAGTTCACGTAAAAAGAACTTGTAGTATTCATTATATAAGACTTGATCGACAGCATTTGTGATAGATGGAAACGACGTAAATAAGTCTGAAATTTCAAAATACTCAAATATGTGCTCCCAAATATCACAGCATAAATCATGAATCGTGGTACGTTTTCCTACGAATGAAAACAAGATCATACAAGTCTCCTGAGTGAAAAAACCGTTTTACTTTCAAATTGTATGCTGCGTTGAATGATGCCAGAACTTGTACTGTCACTTTCAATTTGATGGCATTTTTTTCCATAATTATCCATATTACTTGACCGTAAAGATTGGCAAGTGAAAAAGATTTGAAGTGAAAAATAAGGAAACCTATCTAAAAGCAACAAACATTATTATTTTCTGAAGGATAAACTATTTAGTGATGTAAAAGTAGTCTACAGTATAAAGGCAAATGAATATTATAATATAGTGACATATTTATAATGATAATTATTCAATTTCAATGAGAAGGATATCAATTTGTTTAGATTTACATGGCGAAAAAAACAATATCAAATCATTCCTCGTCATCACAATTACGCAACGTGAGAATAACAATTGAACTGAGGCATTTAGAGAAGGATCTTTTTAATAAAATGAATAAACTCATGTAACTACAAGTATTGAAATACATATTTCTTGTAGAGAAATTCCGTCACATACAACAACATAAAAATCGTCAATGACCTTTATGTACTTGTTATAATAAGAATTATAATAGCAAGATTATTCAACTACAAAAACACACTAAAAGGATAATTTTTATTTATTTCGCTATATGTCTATTTTTCGTAAGGGTGGTAGTTTATTGTTGTTGTTCTTGTTGTTTTTCAAGCATCAAAGCCATTTCAAGTAACTCTTCATCAGATATTTCCGGTATCGCATTATTGCTTGTTTGTGTCAAGCTGACCATCGTAGCTGCACTAACAAATTTAACTGCAGGCGATGCAGCAGCAATCGATTGGCTCTTTTGGTTTGAATGCTCATGGTTAACCATGATTTTTTTTACCGCCATCTGAATATCGCTAGAAATACTTCGCTTCATTTTTTGTCCCGATAATTCAGCTGCTGCCTATTATAATAACTGCATGAATGTCGCATTAGAATATAGACCATTATTACCTTATCTTGGGTGGATGCGATGCTTGAGTCTGAAGATTCGTTCATATTCATACCTGTTGTTGGTTCTAAAGAGGTCAGATATAAATCAAGACAGAGCCGCAAAGAACAAAGCGTCCGGCATTTTACTTACTAGATGTATGTGACATTTCGTTTTTTAAATAGTATCGAAAAAGTTTTGAACTTTTAACAATAATCTACAATGAAAGATTTCTTAAAGAATGTTTGAGTTTTTTAGTTATATATAACAAATTTTATTCAGGGGCGGCGCGAAGGGGGAAAAGCAGGGGGGGAGGGGGGTAATGTCAAATCGGGAGAAAAGTCAAAAAAATTTGTCTCATCTCGAGTGTCCATTACTTTTTCGAAAAATTTCCTATATAGGTTACCCAAATTTTCCAAAAAGTGAAGAGCAAAAAAAAAAGATCTTGAGTTTGGCTTTCAAGAGAACTTTTTGCCTCAGCAACTACTGTTCCAGCCGAAAGTCGAAGAAATTGTGGTCGAAAATGAGAGAAAGTACTTCTCAAAATGAGAGAAACCAAAATTCTAAACCGGAAAAAGCAACGTCGAAAATGGGAGAAACCAAAATTCTAAACGGGAGAAAGCAAGGTCCAAAATAGGAGAAAATATCACTCATATTTTCCAAAACCAGGAGGGGGTACCCTTCCCCAACCCCCCTCGGTCGCGCCGCCACTGATGTTATTTAAAACAAAAGGGAATTAATAGGAGTCTAACATCTGTAACTTCAACATCTGTAATATCTGAAACAGTGCTAACAAATCCTTCATCATCAAATGAAAGAGCAAAAACAACTATATCATCATCCTATATGTCAAATTCAGGTGATGAAATAGAAGATGATGAAAGTAATGATTCACGTGATGAAAATCGTAAAAATATCAAATATAAACAATCAAAAAAAAAGGAATCGAACAACAATATTTCCTGAACAACAAGATTATTTAATGTCAAAATATCCAATTGAATTAAATCCATTACAAAAAATGTTAAAATATATATCATCTTCTGTTAAATAAAAAAAAACGTGTTGTACACGTTTGGTTTCAAAATACTCGAGCTAGAGAAAGAAGAGGTGATATTAAATTTGATCCAAATTCAAATCTAAATGGTTCACTTATTAATAAAATATGTCTTCATTGTTCATTAACATTTGAATTAAAATCAACGTTTGAAAATCTTTTATTAACAAAACATAATGATTTATATAAAAGAAAAGATGAAATTGATTTTGATTTATTTCCATCATCATTTCAATTAAATGATGAATTTCTACTTGATTTATCTAAAACATCAATTAAAACTAAAATATCTAAGAATGAATATTTTACTAACGAATCGAATGATTCAACTGATCAATCAAGTAATGATAATGAACATTTTAAATCTAAATGTCAATCACAAAAAAAAAATCTTTCTAATGGACCTTTATCTCCAACTGGATCTCAACAATCAGCAAATGGTTTAAATGAACAAAGAAGATTTTGAATACAAATGGCACCTTTACAAATTAAATTAATGAAACAAATTTTTTTTTTGAATCTCGAACACCGACTATATAATTTGAAATTTTTATATAATTTATTTTCGTTTTTATTTTGTTTAAGCCAGAATGTGAATTATTAGGAAAAGAAATCGATTTACGAAAACGTGTTGCACAAATTTGGCTTCAAAATGCTCGTGAAAAAGAAAAGAAAAATTCAAATTTTTTTAAACATTGGATCTTCCAAACGAGTTGCAAGCAACGAATGATGAATGTAAATTAGATCAATGTAAATATACACTTCAAAATCCTCAAAGAGTTTGTCTTTTTTTTTTCATTTCCATAAGAATGAAAATTTCTTTTTTTTTATTTAGAGTCATTTATTTACATCAAAACATACGTAAAATATTCGTTCGATTTTATCAAAACAATTTGGAAATCTTTCAACAATTAAAGATGAGCATTTAAAAAAGAACAATATCAATATTAAATTAGATATGGAAAATTCTTGTTCAACATCAGTATTAGATCAATCATCGAGACAAGCATAAAATCAATTAATTAATTATTTAAATTTAATGCATTTTATGCCAATTGGTCGGTTTTACTTCTTTTTTTTTATTTTTCATCTAGAAGATTTTTATTTGTCTAAAGCAATGGATCCTTATAATTATGGTTTAATGGCTCCAAATATTCATGGTACATCTATGTTTATGTTACAATTACTTTGGAAGCTTTCAATAAAATAGTTTCATTAAATAAATCAGATGTTAATTTAATACGTGCTCAATATACACAAGATGGAAATAATATTCAATAATCAATTGACAATGGACATACATCTATTGATTACCAAATTTGATGATTGTTATGCTTGTAACAGATGTCATCTTGTTTTTAAGTTTACAACTACACACACTTTCTATAATTAACAAATTAACTATTTACAATATCAATTGTCTTTTTTATTATGAAAAATTTTCTTTGTTTCTTCTCTCTGCAAATCGAATACCAAATGAATATTTATTTGTTTTTTTAGACGAATAATGACTGATAAAACCTTACAGTTTATTAGAATATGTTAATTAGAGTTTGGATCGATTACCTTTTTAGTTAATCAATATTGAATAGAATAAAATCAGCATTTATTCATCTATTGTTCATACTCTTCATTCATCATTGAGAATATTTTTATTATTTTGACTAAATGAACAGAATTTCAACAATTGTCGAAAAGAGTTCAAAAGAGAGTATGTTAAATCTTCATTATACTATAGAAATGAAGATAAGTAAGATGATGAAACTAGTCTTTTAACTATGTTCGAGATCAAAACAGCAAATAAAATGGATAGTCTCTCGATCCTCTTTACAATATCAAATGAGAATAGAATCCAATTGAATTAGAAAGAATAAATCATCAAAGAGATTTTTCAGGACGAATCAAAGTCCATTATAATCTCTTATAATCTACTAAAATTTATGAAAATCCAGCAGATACCATTGAGCTTTCCTATTCGTTAAAATGAAGAAAATAAACAGTTCTTCTGTGGAAACAGCGAGAATCTACCGATATTGCCTTTTATCTGAACTTTTCCAATTGATATGTGTTTTTGTTTGAAATGGTAAGTTGAACTTTTTTTCCCATTATTCTGCTTGAATCATGACAAATCTATTTATCTCCCTGATTAATGAAACTAATAAAAGAAATTTTGTGTTTTTACTAAAAATGTTTTAGGCCCATTGTATGAATCATGTCGATGTCATGCATTACTTTGTTGGCAAATATCCCCATCAACCTTACCTGTTAATATAAATTCACGTGAAGACTTAAATAGTTTATCAGGTCATATATTTGAAATAGAACAATTAGCATATAGATGTTTATTATGTAAAACATCTTATTCAACAATATTTGAATATGTAAAACATAGAAAAGATGAAAATCATTTAAAAAGACGTTCAAATTCAAAAATTGAAGAGAATAATTCACATTAATAAAAACTTGTTCGGCATCATGCTTTTAGTATTCCTCCATTTATCGTATGTTTCTCTTTTTTTTTCTTTTTTTTGTATTTGTTTTGTGTCTGTGCGTAGCGTTCTCGCTCGCTTCCATTATCAACTAATTGAGTAGAAACCACTGGAAACTTTTTTTCTTTTAATATTGTTCAATAAAACAAGACAATATCAACTAATTATCTTTTTTCCATCAAGATTCGACGATAAATTAACACTATTTACGAAAAAGTAAATTCTACTCAGTGATTAGAATTAATATATCAACATATAAAAAATGATTAGAAGTATTGATTTATTGTTCAGATAAGAATTAATCTCAGTTTGAATATTCTAATGGGATTATTTTGAGTCTAGAGATTAAATTGATGGTTAACTATCCAGATAAAATCAATTCAATAAATAAATTCTTTCGTCAAATTTATTTATCAATAAAAAAATGAATCTCTTTTATAAAGTAATAGATAAAAAAATTGGATTTCTTCATATATATTAATTAACTGATGAACTCAGAAACAATAACAAAAAAACTAGTCTAAATAATTACGATTAAGATTATTTCGCCTTTGTTGTACAATTATATCTATTGGTAGTGAATATACTTGTCTTTTACTACTTTTATAAGTAGAACAATTAATTGATTGATCAATTCTGAATGACTGCAACAAATTTCTTTCTCCTACTTTTAACCCTTGTACGACCATGCCTTTTTTTTCACTGTATACGTATACGGCAGAACGGGATAAAATGACCCACTTCGGTCGTATTAGGGTTAATATAAACAAGCCTCGGTACCTTCAGATCAACTAACAGTTTCAGTAAAAAAGCTTCTTGTTGATATATCATCCACACGTTCAGCTAGTGATCATACTAATCCAAATCCAAAACTTCCTGAGCGTCGTTCAACACCTCATAAACCATCTCATTCGGATATTTATCCTCAATTCGTATTGTTTCACTTGCTCATCAACGACAACATCGTCAATTATCAGCATTTCTTTTACCAAATGTTATTGGAAAGAAGCCGGATGAAACATATCGTACATTACAATGTAGTAAAACACTTGATGTTGTTTTACATATTCCAAATCCAATTAAAGGAATATCACGTATATTTGTTTAAACAGATAATTTATCATCTAATCTTCATCAACGTACAATTAATAGAAGAATCGATCAACAGACAGTATTTGTATAATTCATCAACAACAATAAATGTTTTAACAAATAAAGTACTTGTTTATTATAATAATAGAACGAATGGAAATACCGATTGCACTTGTCTTGTGCCTAAATAATAAATATTTTCATAATATAACAAAAAATAGATCTTTTTCAATGATTTAATAGTTCCGTTTCTTTTTTTTCAATACATACAAACACATACATAGACAGGTAGAATAGAAGACACATATACACAAACCAAGTAAAAAACCTGTACATAACATCTTTTTCGATCCGAAACTGAGAAAAAGAAGAAGCCTGAGTAAATATGAACAAAAACTGATTATCTAAATAAATGTTTAACTAAGAATATCAACCATATCAAGTAAAGTAGATACATTGAGACGTGACCAAACAGGTGATGACATCGAATTGTATTTTCAATTCCACCATATTAAGACTTGGGATGTAACTTTATTTTTATTTTTCTTTATAATAAAGAATGTCGTTATATTTATAACATAAAGATAAAATACAGAATAAAGAACGATTGTTTTTCTGTGGCAACTAAATAAGAAAATAACTAATATAATCACAGGATCTATTGATTAAAGTCTTTTCGTATCATCAGCAACACTTCAACATGAAATATTGTTAAAAAATGATGATGATATATGAAATCTAGGCAAAAAATCTTTCTCATACCTTTTTTTTGCATTCTATAATGCCATTATTTTTGGGGCCAATCTCAAAGCGATAAAATATTATGTTTTCAACAATAAAAAATTTTCATTATTATTTATTTTACCATTATTGTGAAACACGATCTGAAAGGAGTGTTGAAGTGTTCAGGGGTAGAAATTTGGACCCCCCCCCCCCCCCACAAACCGTGACAGACACTCACGTGACCCATCTCAGACCGTGACAGACAGGGCTCTGGACCCGTCACAGACCGTGACAGACAGGCTTTAGACCCATCACAGACCGTGATAGAGAAACTGTAGTTCTAAAGTATCAGATAAACGGTTAGCAGCAAATGTATTGCAAAGAAATGGAACAAAACGATTTCCATTTAATTAGTAACAACAGATCCATCGTATTTCACATTTTTAATCCCGCAAGGGATTGCGCTAACAGCTTTTGTAAAGATAAGGATTTTCTTTACCGTTATTTTATAAAAATAAGTCTTATCTTTATCTTTATTTTACAAATATAAAGATTATCTTTATCTTTATTTTATAAATGTGAACGTTTTCTTTATATTTATTTTATATAGATAAAGATCATCTTTGTCTTTATTCTATAAATTAAAGATAAAGTAACATTCCTAAATAAGACAATATATTCATGCCATTAAATTGATTTTTAAGCATATGTTCAATACGTTCATTAGTTGGTATAAGATCATCAAATGCATCTTGATAAGAATGAATATTATGTGAAAGATCATCTTCAGAATGAGAATATGAAATTTCAGAAGTAATAATTGGTTCATCATGATTTATTTCTGAGAAATCATCACTTGATAAGACACGAGAGATTTGATTCCTATTACGATTAACAAGACCTGAAGCACGACGACATTGAATTGAAACTGATGTAGAAAATTTATTTTTATTAAAACCTATTGGTGTTGTTACTGCTTCTGAACACATTTGTAAATCATTCACACTTGTTGTATGAACAGATTTAAGATGTTTAGTATTATTATATGAATAGGAAGATGGATCATTTGTTGTTGTAGATGATAACATACGATTACGCACTAGTAAAAATTTATTTTAATTATTATTTTATTTTTAATAACTTACTTGATGTATGCAATGATGTTTTAAGTAAAGAAAAATCACAACCATTCTCTTTAGTTCGTACTACAGTCCTCAATCTTTTATTAAAAATCAAACGTGATCCGTAAAAAAATGATTTTATTATCAATTAACCTCATATAGGCATAGTTTTCAAAATTATAGAAGATGATGAATAGATGATAAACTTTTTTCAAAAAATACAGTATTTGGTTATCTTTCTTTTTTGACTCTGTTAATACTTGGCTTTTTTATTTTAAAAGTATTTAGTGAACTTGAATGTACAGATCACTTGCAGACTTTGAATCAACAGTTCTTTTATTATATATGAAATTCATTTATTTTGATCAGTATACACAAGATTGAAATGTTCTATTAATGAATCTAAATTTAATTCAGTTGTTTAACTTGGGAACTATTATAGATTTTTTATCTTGTAATTCTCTCATACTATCTCTTATTATTCGAAGAAATTCAGAAAATCGTGTGTCATCTCTGAAAAATAGATCCGTTAATGAATTCTAATCTTCATCATAATCCTATTTTAGATTAAGAACAAACATATATTTATCCAACATTTTGAATGCAATTTGTTCTATTCAAACTTTCTTAAATGTAATTTTAATAAAGACCGAAATATCATTCAAGTTCATGGAAAAAATAAAATAAAATATTTCAAAATAAACTTCGCTCAAATAAACTACGATTTAATTTAATTAATTTGATTTCCTCTCATAAAAATGGACCGAAATATAGAAGTATCTGTTTTCTGTTTTTCAAAAGAAAAGAATTGTTTAACACGAATGCATCATCTAATAAAAAATTAAAAGACTTTAAGGTGTATACCATGTTTAGTTGGTCCGACCATGAACAAACATCTTGATCGAGTAATTGTTCCCTGAATACGCAATTGAAAATCATTTTTTAACCATTCCTCTATTCTCTCTCGATGTTCTTCAGGAATTCTGTAACAAAACGAAAATTGCAAGGATTATCTGTAAAAAAAAATATTTACTTGAATGTTGTTGGATCATATATTGGTTTATATTCCATTCGCTTTTGCTTCTTTGCCTGTTGAAGTTCATATTCAATATTGCCTCTCATTTGCTTACCGAATGTTAAATATTCATACGGAAGACTTTCTCTTAGTATAGCAGCAGCTAAAAAAGAAAAATTTTCTAAAGAAGATTTACATAAATAAACATCAAACCACTAGGAACGGATTCCTGTTTAAATACAGCACAAGCAACATCGACCTGTTTCTTACGCTGAGCGTCGGTCAACACAGTTTTCTGTTTCTTGGGTATATAAACTGATGATTCAATGTATTTTCCATTTGCTAATAATTTAATTTCAGCGTTGAATTGATCACCATTTGTTGCCAATAAGTAATCTGATCTTTTCAGACCTATTGAATAAGACGTTCAGATAGGATATGTTAGATTCTGATTTTTACCTGGAAAAAGATGGTTAAGAAATTTATGTTTAAAATTTACTTTGTTTTGGAAACAAAGATGTATCGAAATAAGTTTTTCATTTGATGATGTTGATGTATCTAGAATTTACAGCCTACTGAGATAATTCATATTAAAAGAACATTACCAGCAATGCACAAATATTGAATTTTTGATAAATTTTCAGTCGTAGTTAATTGAACGAACGGATATTGTGTTCCAATAGACATGAATACATCGATGTAAGACATAGATGTCGTAATATTTTTCAAAAAAAAATTTGCTCGATTGAATCTATCATTATCTTCTTTATTTGTAACTGAACTTTCACCTTGAGGAGTTTTTTTTTCTTTTTCAACATTTGATTCTTCTCGTACAGTTGTTTTCAATGTCGCAAGATTATTCGATGCAATTCTACCTGATAAAACATCCATTGACTCACCTGGTGTCATATTAAGTAAGTGTTGTTGATTATTTATTGTTGAACGCCGAACATTAGTAGAGTGATTTGTTGAAAGATGATTTACATTTTCAGCTATTTCCTGTTTTCTTAATGTATTAAATTCGACTGAATAAGCTGGTGTCGATGTAGCTACTGGATGGAATATCAGTGCTGATCCTTCTGCAAACAATTATTTTTCTAAATTTCAGACTGAAAGAAGCCTTGTAACAAACCCGACACCAAACTTGATCTAAAAGAACATGGACATCTTGTACAGCTGCAGGCTGACGAACAGTTGCCATAAGGACATGATGACGTTGCCGATGATGATTTAGCTATATCCATTGAACAAACAACATTCGAAGTTGAATCAGAAGATACTAGATGCGACCTTAAATCAACATAATCTTGTTGGTATCGAACTGACAAAAATTTGTTTTTTACCGTAACGCTTGTTCTCCTTCTTTTGCATGTTCTCCTCCTTTTGCTTGTTCTCCTTCTTTTGCATGTTCTTTTTCTTCATGTTCAATTAAATGATCAAAACAATATTTTTTTGTGCAATACCAACAAGCGTAATCTAGCGGACGATTGGAACAATCAGAACCATTGTTGAATTTGAATTGACAGCGATCAGCATAAGAGTATGCTTTTTCGTTCAAACCAGGATCAATACACAACTAAAAGAAAATGATGAACGTTGTTATATACAATCTAATTATTATTGAGACACGCAGACTGTAAGAAGGAGATATTAGAACGCTATTTATTAGGAAAGTTTTTTTCTCACTACTTAATCAGGTATTTGTTCTAGCGATTGAGGCGTCCTAGCGGCATCGGCGTCAACGGGACGCTAGGACGCTGTTCCTTATATATATAGATATATATTATTGATTGAAAAAAAAATTCTTTAATAGCTTCAGCGTCCTGGTGTCATCAGTGTCAATGAGACGCTAGGACGCTGCTCCTTATATCTGTATATATATATATATATATATATGTAATTGGTTGAAAAAAGAATTTCTTTAATAACCCCAGCGTCCTAGTGTCAAGGAGACGCTAGGACGCTGTTCCTTATATATATATATATAGATATATATTATTGATTGAAAAAATTTTAATACTAATACCTTTTCAGTATTGGTTACAATAGAGTCAGACATTGTCAAAAGTTAAATTTTATGCGTAATTTAAGTACGTGTTTGTTGATATCTAGAAACAGACATGAATAGTCGATGTAAAAGTAGAGGTTCATGGAGGAAATTAGCGAAGTTTCTGATTAACTAATCGTCAGTGTACGCGTTGACTATACATAGGAACCCCGTAGCTGTTATGCACTTCCAGTCAACCTATCCAAATGAGATAATAACGAGAATGATTATCGTAAAGTCGATATGCAGCTTATACATAGATAATATATATATATTTATATTAAGCAGTTGAAAATAAAACAACAAAATGTTACTGACTTTTCCAGGAAGAAAAACTAACGTCTTTTTTTTTTCTCTGAGAATTATCACTTGTGATCATATAAACACAATTGACAGACAAAAATCAGAATACAGCAGTCGATGATTGTAATTAGTACAAATGATCTTTCTAGAATCTGAGATAATCCAGACGTTTTCTCTAACCGTTTTGAAGAAAAAAATGATCAATTTGACTTTTAATTAAAAAATTCTTTTATCATAGCTTTTTTATTCTATGTCTTGAAAACGATCGAATATTTCCAGTGTTCCAACTTTTGAAGAATAACTTTATTTAAAATATATCACATCGTATGTGTATATCAGGACAGAATCGTACAATATTCTCTTTATAAGGAAATGTTTTCAATTAATTTCTTTGCGGGAAGATGTAATAAGAGACTGTTCATCATGAGAAGGTTTCTTTCAAATTCGCTGCATATCAATCCGCTCGAAATTTTAATTTCATGTAGACAATCAAAATGATATGATTGGAAGGAGCGTGAAAAATTGAGCAAGAAGTACTGATTATCTCAAAAGGATCTACTTAAATCAAGAGAAAAAATTATTAAAAAAAGATTTTTCAACAAGTACAGATACGATCTATTGCTCTCTCTATTTCGTTCTCTTCCTTTCAACGATTTTTCTTTTCGTTCTGTTATACAAACATATGTATAAAAAAAAATTTGTCCATATATCACACATATGGCTAATATCAGAAAAAAAGAATCTTGTTGTATTAATGATGCTAATGTCGATAATGATGACAATTATATCGGATATATTTTTGAATGAAAAAGAATTTTAACATAAATTATTGATACAAATGAAGAGATAAAACTTTTAAGGAGTTTGCCTCGAAGTGATAAAATATGAGAAATTTAATTGTAAATGAATGTCGAAAATCTGATATAGTTCTCAAAAAATATTTTGAATCTCGTATCAATCGAATTTTTCGATGATTCGAAAAATATCCGATTCATTTTGTTTTCAAAACGAGTAAGAAACATAACCAAGAACAGTTCATTTTAAGAAATTTTTAATTTATATTATTTTTCATATTATCGTCAATAAGGTATAACGAGATTATTCTAATTGAAGAAAGGAAATCAACATATTTTTTAAGAAGAAATCGTAAAATAATGTTCAGTGTTAGAACGAAGTTTGTGATTTCCATCTTATACGTAAACATCTATATGTTCAATGATGGACGTTGGGATATTCTGTTTATTTTTCATTTAGTACAACCGCGAATGATTCATAAGAGAAAGTTATATTGATTGTAAATTATTAAAATAAAGTTCAATTATGTTGATCTCATAAGTAGAATAAACTAGAATAAAAATTGATTTTCCCAAAAGAATATAAATCCATATTCATTGTAAATCTGATACAAATTTTCGATGCAAGACATATTCCTGCGAAAACAAGTAGAATATATGTTCAATCTCTTTGAACAATCTTTCCATTGTCCTGTTGACTCATGAGCAGGTGTAGTGATGAGATTATTCATATATTACATGTACAGCAGAGAAAAATATTTGTGGAGCAATGATGTGAGTGATTATAATGATGTCATTGTTTTATTCAATAAAAAAAATCACTAAAACAAAAAATTCTCCTAAATTCTGAGACGATCGTTATCAACAATTTCATCGAAGTATTAATATATCGAAGCTATTTTTTAAAATGAATATATAAAGGGCTCATTTATTACCTAAAAATACATTTGAAATTCCTTGTGAATCTAGTTGTTAATATTTGATCAGAAACTGTAAAGAAAAAAAAAGAAATGTGCATGTTGTTTATCATATGTTCTGATCACCCTGATTCTCACTAAAAACAAGGGAAAAAAACTGTCTTATTATTGAACTAAATGAAAAGCTGATTCTTTCAACAAGAACACTTCGATTATACTCTTGATTGAATTATTGAGTAGGTAGGAGAATTACGAAGAACAACCTAGACTAGTGAATTGAATACTAGCAAATGTAAATTGATTTTGTGTAATATCATCATTTTTGTTCTGTGAGAATAGCTTTTATTTTCTGACTTGCTGTATTTATTTAATCATTCTTAGTTCATCATATATTTTCATTTCCAAACATCTCAAATGATTCAAAGCTAAGCGATTCTTGAGATCTTCGATATGATTATTAAAAAAAGGAGAATAATTTGGTAATAGATGTTATTATTCTTTGCAATCCAATCAATAGTTAAATTGACAATGAAGCTCCCACGTTTAATACAGGTCGAGAAGTTGATGAGTATTTTAAAAGGTGAAATGATATGATTTTAGAGTTAAAATAAAATTTAAAACTTGATTGCTATCGGTATTAAGAAACTTTTTGACTTATTATTTATTTTCTCATGAAATAGTTTCTCGATAATTCCATTATTTTTACAATCATTAGCCGACTTTTTTTAATATCATGAGATTAACGATCGAACAACAAGCGATCGTTAGATTCTTCTCATTTCTTGTCGTTTACCCGACATACGTATACATCTGTATGTTGTCAAGAAACATGAGAAAAGGAAAATACAATAATATTGCAGAAGAGAAAGGCAATGAAATTTGTTCGAAACGATCATCCGAAAACGTCTTATTTGAGATTTCTTATTATAATAAAAAAAAATCACTTTGATGTTTTTTCTCGAAGATAACCATTTCAACACAAAATAAGAATGCAAGCTTTTGTCAATTTATGTTTTACTAAGCCGCTAGTCACATTATGAACGATTGACTAAGGCAGAATAATGCCACAACAATTTTGAGAAACAATAACAAACCAGGAGTTAGAAAAAAGTATCGAGTAAATACGCAACATGAGAAATAAAAACGATATCAAAGCTTTATTAAATATGAATTTATAACCCATATTTTCGACCAACGACTCTTTTTTCTCCGCATAAAATATGTTGTAAGAAATATATCTTTACTTTGATAGAAGCGACAAGCGTAGAAAGTTTTAAAAAGGCTGTCAATACATTTTTAAATTGAATTAAGTGATGAAGATGAAAATATTATTGAGAAACAGTATCAAGTTTTTTTTAAGCTTGTTACTTTAAACATAAGGATGTGTGTATTAGACAATATACACACTTCTTTTTTTCTTTCTAGTTTCTGATCAAATAGTGACATCGATAATTAATAAAAATAAAACAAATAAAATAAAACGAATTATAATTATCTCGAGACATACGCATAGAAATATATAAGTGCAATTAGTTTTTTTTTTATATTCAAAAAAAAACTTCAAGGTCGATAATCATAAATAAAATAGAAATATTTGAATAATGAGAAAATATACGTTAGTAAAATGAAGTTGACACAAGAATTATAATATAAAACACATTTGTAGAAAAACGAAATCTATATTATACAACGAATTGGTTTCTTTTTAATGAAATTACTACTTTTTTCGGCATGTATCTAATGTATAAGTTATTTTGGTGAAATTCTGTTGCATTGAAAAATTAAGATAGAAAATGTTTGGAAATCATCTGTTCATTAATTAAATATTGAAACTCATTTTTACATTTTTATTTTAAGACGTCATAACTCAGAATGATAATTATACCTTCTACAAGGATTGTAGACGACAGAGTTTAGCACTGCTTTACTCAGTTTTTGATTGTAAAGAATCATAACTAATCACTCACATACAATGACTGTCAAAATGATCAGCCTACTAGACAATTTTATTTTGTATTGTGTATGTTCTCAAAAAAAAACTAGATGAATTAGAATAATCTGATTTTTGTCAGAGTACAGTCTATAGTCTCTAGTATACTGCTAATAAAAAAAATTAGAACAATCTATTGTTCTGTGTAGTTTTTATTGACGAAAAAATGTCAGCATGATGATTTTCAACTATCTGAAATTATTCAATCACTTATTTTTTTTGGAACTATTGCATACCTATTCTAAGTTGAAATTTTCTGTGTGCTACATAATTCAGCAGAAAGAAATGTGTTCTACTTAAAGAATACTTTTTGTCTTAGAGTTTATTTAATCTAGAGATAAAAAACAACGTTGTTTTGACCCGTACCGGAAACTGTCTACAAAAAGCATTTTTCCAAATGATGTTTTAACAGTATTTTTATGTAAGATTTTATTAACAAGTACACTACAAATTATATGAATTGTTCTATTTGAGTAGATAATTCATGATGGAAAATAGTGTTGGTCTGCCTCTTGTATATATATCTCAGATAGACCTTCGTGTATGATCTCACTCCCACATTGAAGAAATTATTTTTAAAAATTGTATTAAAAGCGTGAATTTGTATTGAATCATTTTTTTTCATACAAAATTCTTATATTTGAAATCAAAAGAAATCATATTTTGTCACGTCATAGATAGCAGAAGTAAAAAGCTTACTGGAGTACAAGCAGTAGACTGATATATGTTTCATCAAACAAAGATGTATTAAATAAAACTTAAAATAGGGTTAAGATAAGCTACACTCACACGCTACACACAAAATTGTGTGTAGCTTATCCTAACTAGTTTGAACCAATAGAATCACTTTCCATTCTTTATCCTCATCTATCCAGAAATTGTTTGACATGTTGAAAAAATGTATACAACAAGGTTTTGTTAGTTGAATTAAAAGTTATTTAAAAACAAAAGATGCTTATGAAAGTTAGGCAAATAATAAAGTCTAATTAGACATTTTTTTCGATTTAA